GGAGGCGGCGGCGGCGGCGGCCATGTCCCCTGGGGGCGCCGGGGCGGGCGGGTCCGGGCTGCGTCCCGGGCGGTGAGGCGAGGATGGGCAGCGGCGGGTCCTCGTCGTCGTCGGGGTCGCGGTCGGAGCGGCTGCCGTCGTCGGTGGCGGAGCAGCTGAGCGGCGGGGAGGCGTCGCTGGAGCTGACGGGGCGGCGGTGGCGGGAGCTGCCGGGCCCGGTGTGCGCGCTGGGCGGCCTGCAGAAGCTGTACATCAGCGGGACGGGGCTGCGGGCGCTGCCGGGCGCGATCGAGGGCCTGCGGGAGCTGCGCATCCTGGCGCTGGACTCCAACCGGCTGGAGGAGCTGCCCGAGGCCCTCTGCCGCCTCCCGCGCCTCACCCGCCTCTACCTGGGCGGCAACCGCCTCTTCGGCCTGCCCGCCCACTTCGCCCAGCTGCAGAGCCTGCGCTGCCTGTGGATCGAGGGCAACTACCTCTACCGCTTCCCGCGCGCCCTCCTCCACCTGCCCGCCCTCCAGTCCCTCCAGATGGGCGACAACCGCCTCCGCGCCCTGCCCGCCGCCCTCCCGCGCATGAGGGGCCTGCGCGGCCTCTGGCTCTACGGCAACCGCTTCGAGGACTTCCCCCCGCCGCTGCTCCGCATGGCCCAGCTCCACATCCTCGACCTCGACCGCAACCGCCTCGCCGCCTTCCCGGACCTGACCCACCTGCGCCGCCTCCGCGTCCTCTCCTACGACCACAACCCCGTGGAGGCGCCGCCCCGCGTGGCCGACTCCGTCATGCTGGTGGGCGAAGGGGCCCAGGAGTTCCTGGAGGCCCGCGAGGAGCGGCTCCGCAAGCTCCGCGAGCAGGAGGAGACCGAGGAGGCGGAAGCCCTGCGGGCCGCCACGAGGAACGACTCCTCGCTCCTGGACGACGGCGAGGGCAGCGGCTCCGCCCTGGAAGGCTCTCCGGAAGAGACATGACACGGCCACGACGTGGGCACGAAATGCTGCTCAGGGAAACCCGGACTCTGGCCCTGCCTTCCGAGCAGTTGGGAGCTGGGCATGGACTGTCCTTGGCCCAAGGCACCGTAGGCAGCTGTCTGCCCTGGCACTTACCCACCCAGGACCCCTACTCAGAAGGTTTGCGGTCTCTTCTGGAATCATGGCCAGTCCCAGCAAAGAGGATTGCTATATGTTAGTACAATCCATGGGTAATCTTTATGTCTTGCACACCTTTGCCCAATCCGCAGGGTTTGGGTGGGGTAAATTGTTTTCATAAGGAATCATTCCTTTGTGCCCATGCATTGAAATGATTGGCCTTTGTCCCTAACTCAAGGCGTGGAGAACGACGGTCACACCATGGGTGAAAGCTGAGTATCAGACCTTAATGGGATGCGGTGACAGTGTGGTTCCTGTGGGTGTGATCTCCATCCTGGTTGTCTGGCATGCTACAATCAGACTCAAGGACAAGGCAGGATAAAGCCATCTTGTTTATTTATTTATTTTCTCCCTTGAACTCTGAGCCCAGGAGGACTGCAGGGTTGTGAGTGTGAATGTAAAACCTTGGGTTTTTTTTTTTTTTTAAAACACAACAACAACAAAAGCCCCAGGGATTTTTTACCTCCCCTGGGCTGTTCCGTCCAGCTGTCAGGTTTGAAAAGAAGCTCCTGTGAAATCCTTGCTTGTGTAGAGCCGTCTGTCCTGGAAAGAGCTTTGCCTCCGCTCTTTGTATGGTGGGAAAGGAGCTTTGTGCATTACCCTGCTGCTTTCCTGGACTTTCTATTCCCTTAAAAGGACACAGAAGCAAAAGCTGGTACGACCTGGGCCACTGCAGGCGTGTGTGGATCTTGGGTAGAGGGGTGGCAGCCACGGGAGTTTCTCCTGTTTCCAGGGGTGACAGATTCATTCTTGTGGGGGCTCTTGGGCTAGATTTGTACTAAATCTAAGCAATAAAAAGCACATCAAGTGAAAGGAGAGAGTGGCCGTGGGGAGGGGGCACACATTCTCAGGGAGATTGCTCCAAAAGCAGGAGACCAAAGCTGTTGGGTGGACTGGGGGCTATTTTTAAAATGTTCTGCAAACTCAATTACGACACCTGGGGAGGAAACAAGTTTCTCAGGCATTGGTGTTATTTATTTATTTATTTATTTTTGATCCTCTCTTTCCTTTGCCTCTCTCTGATCAGAGCTCCATTGTCTTCCGTGCCGTTTTCTTAGGTCGCTTCACCACCACCCCCCTTCCCCTTCTCCTGCTTCTTTTCCTCTCTTCCAGTGCACACCTCTGTTTGTCAGCTGTGCTCAGTCTCCCGCTGGACTGGCTCCGCTGTGCTCAGCCTCGACAGCGATATTGGCAGGGCATGCTGCCTCAGCACAGCCAAAGTTAACACACTCGATCAAGTGTCTTTGTCTTGGATGCTTTTCAGAGCATAATGGACTTTGATGTTATGTATTCCCATTTTATTACAGTTTATTTCTGGTTTACTGGCTGGTTGCCATTAAAAGTGAAACTGTTTCTTTCCTTTCTCTGTGTACAGTCCCCCCCCCCAATCCGTTATGTAGTTTCTGAGAGTGTGAGGAGGTCACTCTTCTTTTGAAAGTTGTGTAACAGAATGTGAAGTATCAGCTTCACTCCTCTCTCTCTTGAACTGGTTACAGAAGGCTGATTCATACAAAATATTTCCACACTCTTATTTAATTCAGCCACATGAGCCCCATGGTTTTGAGAAGTCTGTTATCGTAGCTCTTTGCTCACATATCTCTCTCTGTGCCTTGTGCAGCTTCTGCCTGGCAACCACAGGGTGCGATACACAACAGAACTCCACTGAACTACTGACACCTTTTTCAGCCCCATTGATTTTACTGCAGCAGGTGAGGCTAATTTTGTGTGGAAGTCCATCGATCCTCCTCTGCAGGCGGCTGCTGGAACTCCTGGTTTGCATTTTGCCATGGCTGACTCTACGGTTAGCAACAGCCAGCTTGAGATTTATATGTTCCATCCCAGCTGGGTCAGTGTTTTCTCAGTTTCTTCTCACTGGAGAAGCTCACCAGTGGCATTTCTTTATCCCGGGTTGCCATCACTGGTTCCAGCTTCTCACCTGGAAATGAACTCTCACAACCCCCCCCCCCCCCCTTTCTGTACTGTCCCCAGCATCTGCAGTGAAAAGCTTGCAAACGGACAGGCATCTCCCATGACTCACTGGTGGGTCCCATTTCAACAACTGGGAAGAAGGGTTAGGTGGCTTTGACAATGAAAAGTTTTGTTCGTAAATTGATTTTAATCTTGTATACAAAGCCTATATTTTCTTAATAAGATATTATATAGATTCTAAAGGACTTGAAAGCAGCTCTGGCTATATATGGGAGGCATACCTCATGTATGCCTCCAATATTTGATAAAGTCTCACCTAGATAATTTCCACAGTAGTGAAATTCCTCACATTGATGTTTTTAAAACTGTGTGTTATATGAAATTTTCTGCAGTAGATTTTTCCTCACCAGGTGTAAACCTGAACTTTTCTCCTTACCCCGCATATTTTGAATCCCCAGTTTAAGTGAGTTTTTAAATGCAGGGTAAGAAGGAGAAAACTTCGGGTTTCGCTACTGCAGAAATGGTCTTATTTGCTACTTGATAAGAGGAATGAGGAGGTCAGAACTGAAAAATTCAATGGAGGAATGCTTTAAGCAAGGAAAACCACTGCAGGACAGCCATTGCAATGGGGAATGGCTGGATATACAAGGGTGGCAAAATGCTGCAGAAAGGGAGAAGTAAACGCCTGCGGATAACTTTGAAATCTGCAGGGTTTTTTTTACTGTTCTTCACCTGAACATCACTGAGTTTTATTTATTTGATTTCTGCTTAGCCCTGTCCCAAAGACCCTGTATTTATCGATTGCCCACCTTTCTCACAGGGACGCGAGGCGGATTACACATAGTGAGACGGTACAGTCAGCAAAATGGGGCATTCAGTAAACAATGCAATAGGACTGTAGAGGTTTGGAATCAACCAGAAAGAGCTGAAGCATAGCATGAGTATTGACATGACACATGAAGAAGTGCAAAAATTACATAATAGGATCTGACTTACAGTAAGGTTTTTCACAGAAGTATAGACCACAGTCCACAGTCATTTAAGTAAGGTTTTTCACAGAAGTATAGACCACAGTCCACAGTCATTTATCCATTACAAAACTCTCTAATTTTACTCTGTTTCTGGACACCAAAAACAAATGAAGTAAAAAGGACTTGCTTGGCTCTGGGTCTGCCGTCAGGGCACCACTACCAAGAATGCCTCTGTGTCTGCCCTGGCAATCCCAGTTTGAATGGCAGGCTTGAAGGAGTGCTTCTGTGAAAAAACTTGGAGGTCATGATAAAAAACGAGTCGTGTGCTTATAACTGTGATGCTTATAAATGTTAACTAACACCTTATGTTAAAACTGGAAGGCCTTAGGGAGCCAGAAGCGATGCTGGGGCACTGGTGTCCTGTGCTCTTTCTGGCCTGTCCCCATCAGAAGGTGGGTGATGATTTCCAGTCTGCCATCACTGATGATGCGACACTGCATATATCCTATGGCATTCTCACTTGGAAATGATAAAGGCATGAATCACAGATTGAGCCAAGAGAAAATGCTAAAATGGAGTTGGTGGGAAGCCCTGGTGGCCACGGTGGCAGCCTGAGGGCCCGGGCTCCGAGACAAATGGAGGGACGCCTTATGGCTCTGAGCCTGTGGGTCCCGCAGGACTGGGATGCCATCTGTGGCAGGGGCTCCAGTCCCCTTCCCCCCCAGTCACAAGGCTTGCTGATCCTCATTATTTCCATCTTGTCTGGATTTAATTCCAGCCACCCTCATCAAGCCCCTCACATGGCTGTATGTCTGTACATGCTCATGTAACGATGTATCTCTAAAGCTTGTGTTCCACTTTCCTAAAAAATACTCAAGTAGTCCATTATCTATGTATAACTGTGGTCAGAGCAGAAACCCTTGTAGTTTCAGGAGTAGCTTTTTCTAGTGTTGTGGACGCAGAGATAAAATATTCTAGAGTTTCCATTCCTGAGAACAAGTGTAGTGTAGTGTGTCTGACAGCCTGAGCTACAGCTCAGGAAATCCCTCCTGCAAATGTTGCTTGCGCTGTGAACTCATTAACTGGCCAAAGGCAAGCCCTATCAGCCCATCTCTCCTATATTATAGTGATAATAATGGTGGCCTATGTTTCAAAGTTGTTGCAAATGTTAAGATAAGTGTTTTCAACATTTGACAATGCTCTATGAATGCAAAGTATTGTTCTTACTTCAGTTTGGAGGCCTGCAAGGAATTGCTGGCTGGGGAGAATAAACAATGGGGAAATTCCACCTTGACCCAGCTCTTCCCCTCCAAGGTACTGTCAGGGCTCGAACAGGGCAACCTCCACCTGCCTACTTCTCGCCCCGCCCCACCTGCCCTCTGCACCCGTGCGCTCCCCAGAGGCCACCCTCACTGGGGATTTGTCTCCTTTTTAAAGTAGTGTTCAAACTGTCATCGATCCCCGCATACCTGGGAGGTCCCCGTAGCCTGCAGGAACCCTGGTCTTGTCTGTGGGGAGCCCCGTTTTGCTTCCCTGCTTACAGAAGGGCTGATTCCCTCTCTGATCTCGATCTTTCCCCCCCTGCAGTGCATGTTGGGAATTCTTCCCCAGAGATTCCAAATTCACAAGCAGGATATGCAGACTACCATTATTTTGGTTACAAGCAAAACTGAGAGTTTTGTGCTTTACTTCTAACTGGAATGTGGAGGGGTGTTTTTTTTTTTGCCAGGGACTGAAGTTTAGAGCAGGCCCGTAGCTAACGTGGGGCCCATGGTCCCGGCCCCCTAGCATTTTTTCTGGGCCCCTCCCTCTTGGGCTGGCACCAAAGTGCCTCAACTCGCCACCTCTGACTTGCCTGCCAGAAAACTGAGCACCCTGAGTGCCTGGCCCACTGTCAGGCTCCCCACAGCATCGAGGCAGTAC